TGATGATGTTCTCTGCAAGCATGAGGCAAGTGCTGGCCAGTTGTGGCAACAAAAAGAGCTATGCTCAGTGCTATTTTGGTGGAGAACAGACTCCCCAACAGGAAGATCCTTTGCACTTGAGAATCCAGAAGTTTCTTTCCTGGGATTAAAATTATTGAGTGCAGTCTGACCCAAAGAAAGGCATTCCTAGTTTGAGCAGATCTTAATTATGCATTAGGGTGAAATTGCCCATAATTGGCTTTAAAAAAAAAAACTTGCAAAAGTGATGCTTTTTTAGGGCCTCTGTTTTAGATGTTGCCACTTTTGCTTCTGTGGTTTCTGTACCTGGAAAAATCCTCTTTTTCCTACTTTGTCCCACAGGCCCTGGTTCATTTCTCTAACAGTGTTACTGACGCACAATTCACCTTTTTAAGACCCAAAGCAAATGGTACCTTTCCTAAGGGAAATTTGTTCACCCCCCAAAAGAAATTAACTCCTTTTCTTCACTCCCCAGTCATTTGGTTGTCATTACACCTTTTTGTTTTTCATTTTTTGAAGCTCTACATTAAGTTTTAGGTAACTGTTGATTTTTTTCCCTGTGAGACTGCAAATGCTTTGAAGGAAGACTGAATTTTAGCACCAGCTTTGTGCTTTCTGTAATCTCAGAGGGATGGTTTGTGAAATGAATTGATGAAAAAGGAAATGACTGATGCAGGAGTGGGGAATGGTCATCCCTGGAGAGGGTACAGCACCCAAAATCCCACAAGCTCCCACCTTTGGAGCTTAGCTGCACAACGGCCTCAAGATACTAGCCTTGTGTTTGCTGTGTGTGTCTGTGTTGTTATATCCTTCCTGCCATGCTCCAGCTCCCGGCAGACATTCAGCCCCAGCTAAGGCTCATCTGCAAATAGGCTGCTTATGCTGGAGGCGGAGCTCTTGCTCCCCTAGGGCAGTATCATTGTGCGATCCTCACTTGCCAAACCCTCCCTGAGCCCAGCCAAGTTGAGAACCATAGAATCATCTGCTGGCCCAGTCTAGCAAGTCTAGGCTACGCAGACAGGAAGCTCTGGACAGGTTTATGTTGGGGAATTTCCTCTTCTGAGGACACTGGGGAACCAGGGAAGTCCAAAACATCAAGCAGGAAGTCTACCATCCTGCATGTGGGGTGAGATGTTCCCTGTGATGCTCCGGTCACAGACAGCTTGGGAAGGTGTCGTGTCTCACCCTGGGTTCACAATCTGATGAAACTCGGTGTAAAGCCTGGCAAGTCCTCCGGCTGCAGATCCTGAGGGGAGGCAGGAAAACCTGGGAATATGGAGCAGCCTCCAGTATGACCCCTCACCTCCAAGTGAAGCCCAAAATGTCACAGGAGCTGCCTCTGTATCTGTTGCTCTGAACTTGCCAGGGCCCTGAACCCATCCTGAGCTGGAGCTCAGCTAGGCTCCTAGTACTAGGGAGGTGCTCTAAATGGGTTGGTGTCCCGGCTTTGGCATTCCTGGGAGGGATTCTTGGGCAGGACGTTAAGTAGGACAGGGTCAGGCACCGGGGAAGATACTTCCAGCAGTAGGGATCAAAAAGCTAAGGAAGAATGGTAGGGCATAAAAGAGTTGAACTAAAGAGCAGGGTTAGGAGGGTAGGAAGTTCAGGGTGGCATGCAGATCTGAAGTCCAGCTTGGGTGACTGCATCACCTATGTGGTCTTGGGCTACACCGGAATTTCTCTGAGCGTTTTTCCACCAGTAAAATGGAAGTGGGGGATATTTGTCTTTCAGAATGACTGATTTCACTCTGGAGGCTGAGGCAGGAGGATCATGAGTTTGAGGCCAGCCTGGACTGGAAAGTGAGTTCAAGGCCAGCCTGAAGTGCATAGTAAAACCGTGTCTCAAAGACAACAACACAAGAATGGCTGAGGTGACTGAATAAAACACTATCTTAAAAGGCATCTTATCCAGCCCGAGAGCCTTGTAGGTTCTCAGCAAGTATGAGGGAAGGACAGGAAAAGGGAGGATTGTGGCAAATGCCCTGAGACACCTCAGACCCTTGTACTACACGTCTAGATCACTATCCCTACTGGGGCACAACTTCACCAGTGGTATTGTCTCTCATTCTGAGACAGACTTGAGACTCACAGGAGGTGGGGCTTTCTGGCTGTGTGGGCCAGAGTTCTACCCTCACCCTGGGCCTTCCTAGAAGGTAGGTGGCCAGCTCCTGATATGGCCTGGGCCACCCAGAATCTCCATCTAGCCTATCTTCTCAGTCCATGGCAAGAGGAAACAGGGCTTTTCCTTCCAACTAGTTTGGCACACCTGGAGTGCAGGGTCTCCAGCCCTGCCTCTGGCTACCAGGGCATAAGCAGCAGTAATCCTACTCTCTTGGAGCAGCAGTATCTGACACTTGAATCACAGGAGACAGAGTCAGCCTGCCCCACTCCCCACTTCCTCCACTCGGGCCCTCCTCTCCCTAACACAGGCTGTAGGTAAGCCATAGCTCCCCGCCAGAGAGGTATCTGGGAAGAAAGAAGCATCATGATCAAGGTACTGCTCAGGTACTGGACTCTGGAAGGCCTGCTCTCCATGCTAGGGCTCTTCTTATGACCCGCCTGGGCTCTTGTCTGAGCAACCAACAGAGTGTGGAGGTCCTGAGCATCAGGGGTAGTCTAGAGTTTTTGCTGAGAGTGCCTCTTGGAACTTGCCCAAGGAATCATCCTGGAGCACCTTTCCAGCCCTTTCGGCCTCCCAGGAACAGTGAATGGCACAGGAGGCACTCAGGATGCAGGGGGAAGCCAAGTGGAAAAGTGGACTTGCTGAGGGTATGGGACACACACCAAGCCTGGACTAGTGGACTAGCTTCAGCTCAGCTCTGCCTCTTAACTGGCTCCGTGGCCTTGGACACCAGTGTTGTCTGTCCAAGTGGGCACTCTACAAATGATGACTGGGGATTTGTGGCCCATTGTCTTTCCTGCTCTCAGCTTGAGAGACTCAGGTGCATTCCATGGGAGAAAACGAAGTCCTGGAAGTCACTGGAAAGAGCTAGCCATGAGCTGGGTGCTGTGGTTTCTCCAGCTGGCTTTTGTTCTTGCATCATGACGTAACCTGCATAGTGTGGGCAGTGTTCTCTGAAGCAGCTGTTAAGACACTGGCCTGTGAGGCAGTCACGGCTGAATCCCAGTCTCCACCATTTCCCAGCTGTGCGACCTCATGACCCAGCTATGGTTCATGGTTTTTAAGCCTGTTTCTTCATCTACAAAATGAGTTCGTCATAACCCCCACAGTGCAGCTGCCAGGACTGGAGGCGTTACTCCAGGCCAGCGGCCAGGCCGGGGAGATGCCTGCCTCCTACTGCTCAGCAGACGCGACACCACCAACTCCCTTGCTTCTGGCTTCCCTGAAAGCAACCACATCTTGTCTCACCTGTCTCTCCTGTGCACTGAATGGCCTGCAGCACCTACTGCTGCTACGACGGCTCCCAGGAGCAGGAGAATCCTGCCCTGATTTTAAGTTAGTAGTTTCAATGCTAACTCCAAGCTGTCAGTGTTTGGGGAGCCATCACCACAGCTCTCTCCCCCCTCCCTCCTGCTCAGTTTGCCCTTTCCAAGACTATTATTCAAAGTGCCACTCCTGTGGGCACAAACGCCCCATGGCACGGAGGCCTGAGTGGCATCTTCCTGCTTTATCTTTTTCTTGTTCATTTCCTCACCCAAGCAACCCTCCACTCCCATACACTCTGCCAAGCTTTGGGGTTGTCCTCTAATTTTTTTTTTTGTCTTTTTCCTTTTTATCGGTACTGGGGATCGAACTCACGACTGCCTGCTTGCAAGGCAGGCACTTATGCCGCTGAGCTAAACCTCCAGCCCCCGTCCTCTAAATTTCTAAAGCCAAACCCCAGCCTCAGTTAATTTTCCCAGATCTTTCTCAGGATGATATCAATGCTTTCTTAACACCCAAGTCCAAAACATGCTTTCCCTTCAACTAAGCAGAAATGAAAACCTGTCAGGAAAATTTTGTTACTGATCAGGAATGGTCTCAAGACTGAGGGGTAACAGCTTCCTGATTCTTGGAAGCTTGTAATTTTTGCAGACACACACAGAGGTCACTGAAGTCACTGAGAAGAGCTAGCACTCAGCTGTGGGGTGCATGTGTCTGTGTGTGTGTATGCACATGTGTACTTTGAACTAGAAAAGCGAATCACGCTTCTCTTTCCATCTCAAATTTGGGACTTCTTCATAATATTCAAGACGCCATTGTTAACGAAGAATAACCAACCATTTCAAGAACTTCAAGAGAAATGGGGAAAAAAAGTTAATTCACACAATATTGGTGTTGGTGGGCTGTGAGAAAATGAAGTCTCTGCCATGGCTCACTCTGAGCTGCTCCCCTCAGCCCCGCAGACTGACTGACTTCAGACTGGGGATGGAACCCAGGGGCTTCATACTAAACCTCTTTTCCCAAACAGCTGAGTCATTAAACTGCCCCAGCTGGCCTCAAACTTCTGATACTCTTGCCTTGGCCTCCCAGAGAGCTGGGATTACAGGCACGCACTACACGACCACACTCCTGCTTCCTTCAACTGAGTGTGCTTTCTGCTCTCTTTGCATCTACACGTGGGTGGTACCTGCCCCTTCACACGGCAGCTTCAAAACCATTTCATCCCAGAAGCCTGCCCTGGTACCTTACCCCACCCCCATCAGATCAATCACCATGCCTCCACACTTGCCTACACTCCCAGCTGTCTAACAGTCTCACCAGGCCCAAGCCACGCCGACCTCACACTGGCTACCACTCTGTGAGTCCTGACCAAGCAGAGATGAAGACTTCCACGAACGCTTCTTTTCTTTTTTGTTTCTTGTCTTTTTGAGACAGGGCTTTGCTATGCACTTAAGGCTGGCCTTGAACTGGCAGCTGTCCACCTGCTTGGGCTTCCCGAGGGCTGTAATCACAGGATGCACCACCACGCCCAGTATGGACTGCTTTTCAACCCAGGGTTTAGGCAAAAATATTTTGAAAGGATCACATCTCCCACAACTACCTTCATAAGAATTTTTTATTATTATTATTTAGAAATGCAGTTATATACATAGAACAATTAAAATTAAATTAAACTTTGTACAAATATTAAAATACTATCTTCACACCCACTGCAATGTACAGGATACCAAAAAATATATATATATAAAATAAAGCAAACCCAAACTGATCTGAGTGACATCCTGTACAGAGTCAATCACGCATGTGTTGTTATAAACCATTACATGAGTACCATTCTGAAGAAGATCCCATAGTGGTGTGACAACCTTAAGAAGCCAGAGCAGGTGTGGGTGCTGTTATGCGACCCCAGAACCTCTCCTCCCCACTTGGCAATCCAACTTGAGTGCTTTGCTCCCTGTACTCCCTCCACTAGCCAGACTGCTTGGCAGAGGGGGCAACACTGGAGGCTTTGTTCAAAATTCTACTAGAGTTTCAAGGAAATTAAGAGACACTTCCCAGCAAAGCTGGGCCTGCCACCATCCCCTCTCCAGAGAACTAGCTACTGCAAGATTGAGCCCAAACATCTGCCAAGCAAAATATTCTCCAAGCCCTGCAGGAGACCTAGCCGGCCCACAAGAGAAGCTCCCAGCGCACTGCCCTTGGCAAGCACATCTGGACTTACTGTAAGTCCGTGACGGCTGTGTGCCACTTTCTTTCTAGTCCCTTTTTGCTCTTTGAGAAGGGAAAGAAAAGGGGAGGGGGGAAATCAGGATCAGGAAACGTCTGCAGCATATTCCTTTCTCTATGTAAGAACGTTCCCACAAATGGAGGCAACAATGCTATGCAGTAAGCAAGCGGTCTGGGAGGAAAGGGACTGGGAACCATCTACCTTTGTGTCACTACTCATGAAGCAGGAAAAATATACCTTTGTCTGTTTTGCTACCTGGCTTCTTCACAGAGTTTTAAAGCTGGGGATGGAAAGAGCAGGGCAAGATGAATGGGGAAGATAATATTAGTTTTAAGTTCTCTTTGCAAATGGAGTGCTTGTAGAATGTACACTGAAATGTCTTATAAAACCAAACAAATTCACAGTGGCCAAGACCCAGCCATTTCACAGTTCACACCCAGTGAAGTACAGCACATAAAATACAGAAATGGCAAAGGCAGAGTCTGCCTGCTAAACTAAGGCGTGAGAGGGATAGACTTTAGTGATTTTCACCATATTCTGGCCCTTCAAAATTGCTAGAACATCACCAAGATTAAAAAAAAAAACTGCACTGAGCCAGCTCAAGTGTAGAAGATATTAGAGAGAGAGAGAGAACTAGAGGAAAGGGGAGGGGAGGGGAGGGAAAGGAGAAAAAAGAGTAAGGAAAATAATCCTTTCTACAAGTCCTTTGGTGCTGACCTCCTCTGGGCAGGTCTGCAGGGCAGGCAGCCCTTGAAGATGAGCCTGGCTCCGGCTCTGGGCAGGCTCCTTCCTAATAGCCTGCTGTGTGCCATCTGCCTTGTCTCCAAAGCCAGGCCCTACCTCACGGCAGCTGTGGAGCCCCCAATCCCTCTGCAAAGAACAAAGCTCAGAAGCTCCAGAACAGCCCATGTGACTAAAGATGAACAAACTGCCCTGAGGGCAGGATGGCTGTGAAAGAGGCCAGCCTGGAGTCAGCAGCAGCATGAGCTGAGCTGCAAACCCCTGCATACCCAGCAGCTGCTGGAAGAGCCTCCTCTGAGCCAGTGACAAGAGAGGCAGCACACTCGTCCCAAGTACTTACTTTCCTAACAGGGAGGCAGGCCGGGGCTTGTGACCCTCCGAGCAGTGTGAATGTGTGGTGAGACGGAAGGAGGTATCAGGAGAATGAACCTCAAAGTGCAGCCTCTGGGTGGGCAAAAACGCAGGGTAACTACACAGGAGAGAGTGGGCTCTTCTATTTAAAAAAATATTCCAGAACAGAATTCAGGTTTTGGAAGGATGGAAACTAAAAGCTAAAGGCTCAGCATAAGACTTCAGCCCCGCCTCCCATTTCTCACGTCCCCTTTCCGCTGCACACCGCCAGGAGGGTCTGCATGTTAGCAGCAGCTGGGGTTGAGGACCCCTCTACTAGGTGGCCACCCCAGCAACTGCTGAGATGCGGGTCACTTCTTTTCTCCCTCCGGCTTCAGTCTTTCAGTTCTGGCACCTTCTCCAACCCATTCCCTACCTTTGACTTTGCTTGCCTGGATTATCAGCACAACAAATGGGCTTCTGGGTGGATGGGGGACATGTGGGAGTGGCCAGCAGGCACAGTGGGCACTGCCCTTACCCTGAGAGGAAAGAAGATGAGGGGCAGCAAGAGGTCAGGCATGACCGGGGAGTAAAGTGCGTTGTGAGAGCGGAGGCCAAGAGTGGCAGCTTGGGAGAAGCTCATTCCCCCAGCTTCAGGCCACCCGTGCTAGAGCTAACCCTGTTAGGTCAGATCCCGAACTGGGCTTTTTATTACTTTTACCATACCAGAGATGCTCAGGAGCAGCGGTGCAGCAGAGTGAGCGTTGAGGTTTCCCAGCCCCAGTGCTTCAGGAAAAAAAAAAAGCAAAGCAAAAGCAAACATTCCTTAATGCCACGTCTGTCCTCTGAAGAAGGCAGCAGCCTGGAGGAGCTTGTTGGCCCGGCCTTCCTACATTCACCACAGGCCGGCCGTGGAGTCGGGGAGAGGCGCCCAGAGTGCCACCATCACTCCGGCTCCCTCCAGCGGCCACACTCCAGGCTTCCGTCTAAAGGGACCTGGAAGCCAGGCTGCCAGGCACTCATTAGCCCACTTCAGCCAGTAAGGCAGGGGTGCTGTGGACCACTTCTCAGCTCCTCCCCCAGAGGGCAGGGAAGACACACACGGCTTGTCAGCCACGAGGTGTGCAGGGGCACCGGGAAGGGCAGAAGTAGGAAAAGCAGAGGTGCAGTAGGCAGCAGGCCACTTCCTGGGCACAGTTACTAAGGCACATGACCGCGACGAGAAGGATCCTCAGGACCGGGCTGGAGCTGCCTGCAGCTGCCCAGGGACTTGGTCTATGCCTCTCGGCCTCCCCTTCGTCACCACAACCCCAGAAAGTGGCAACTTGCCCAGACTGCCAGTGACCAGGTGTGTTGGATGGCATCTTAGAACTCCTGGGATGATGTGCCTCAGGCCCTGTGGGCAGCAAAGAAGCCAGAGATGCCTGGGATGAAGCCCAGGAGGCAGCATGCAACTCCCCTTATCCAGGGAACAGAAAAGACCAAGGCCAAGGTGCAATGCTGGAAGCAGGAAGTGAGAGCTTGCATATTAGGAAGACAGTCATTACCAGTCACCTTCTTTCCCTCCCTCAGGATCTTCTGGATGCTTCGTGGAAACTCTCCACCGGGCCAGGAGCCTGCACCTGAGCTGGACAGCCAGGTACTGGGATGGCTTTGGCATGATTTTCCAAATTCTCTATTCTCGGCCAAGGAAGTGTGCCACCATGTCAACCCAGGGACCCAGAGTCTGCCCCAACAAAAACCACTCACTCCTCAGAGGCTCTCACTCTTGGCTCTGCTCTTGTGAGGGGAGGCGAGGCCAGCCACTGGCCCAGCTCCACATGCAGGGGCAGTAGCCTGTGGACAGCAACACGCCTGCATGGCAGGGAAACTAGACGGGCTGGGGGAAGGCACAAGTAAACACAGCAGTGCTCGGCCCCACGGAGGCTATGGGACTGCCATCACAGAGCTGGCTGGAAAGGACTCAAAGGCTCAGGGAAAGGGAGGGTTCGATCCAGCACATTCAAATACATCCCAACAGATGGGAAGGCTGGGCCAGGCAGACAGCCAGCTGCTCCAGCTGTCCAGGCAGATGGCGAGAATCTTCCTTGAGTTTCCAGTGAGGTGGCCTGCAGGCCCTCGGAGACACACTGATACACAGGTGGCAGCTCAGGTATCCAGGTGGGGTGGCTGGAGTACAGGGTGCTCAACCCAAAGGAGTGGGAGGGAGGGCAGAGAAGACCCTCGCAGAGAGGAGAGGCCGGCAGCAGCCCTCACGCTTCTTTCAACAGCGGGATATCTGTGGAAGACAGGGAGGGCAAGCACAGTGGTTACCCAGAGGGGCCTCCCGGCACTCAAGGTCCTGCTGCAGGCCCCAGCGCACAGAACAACGCCCCACTCATGCAAGCTTAGGGAGTCAAAAACTTGCCGCCTCTCTAGGCCTTTTTAGCGCATCTCTCCCCACCTGTGGGATAAGATCTGAACACTCAGCCCGGTATTCACAACTTTTCTGGTCCCATCCACACAAAACCTCTTCCCTCTGCTGGCCCCGCCACTTTCATTTCTCTCTCAACCCCTCCCCATGAGGCCACAAAGCCCTGCTTGCGTCTCACCTTCTCAAGGCCAACTGCCAGCTGTGTGACCCTGGACAAATCACTTCTACTCTCTGGGTTTCAGTCTTCTCATATGTCAATAGAGGGTGGAGGGTTTAAGATACATGGCACACTCTCCTAACTTCCTCTCACAGTCCTGTGAGCTCCAGCCTGGCCTGTCACAAACTCATTGAATCACACATACTGCTTTCTGGGCCAATTATTTTATTTATTTAGTGTTTTTGAGACAGGGTTTCACTGACCTTAAACTCATTTTGCAGCCCAGGCTGGCCTCTAACTCACAGCAATTCTCCTGTCTCAGCCTCCTGAGTGCTAGGATTAATAGGTGTGCACCACCATGCCTGGTTGGGTCCCTTATTTTAATTAATGAATTAATCTATTTATTTTTATATTTATTTTTTAGTCTTTTATAGGGTTTCACTATGCAGTTCAGGCTGGCTTTGAGCTCACTTTGTATCCCAGGCTGGTCTTGAACTCACAACAATCCTCCTGCCTCAGGCTCCTAAGTGCTAGGACTACAGGGGTATACCACCATGCCCAGCTGGGCCCCTTATTTTAATGTGAGCTCCATAATTCCTGCTTCCATTAGTGTTTCTCCAGTGTGAGTCCCATCATCCTTTTCAGTTGACTGACTTCATGCAGCAGATAATATATTTCCTATTTTTTTCCGTCACTCCTGAAACCTCCTTCAGCTGCAGCACAGGCTGGGCTCTCAATGTTAAGCCGACGCTTGCTCATTGTAAGGATCAAAGCAAGGCAGTCAGGAAGGGCAGGGCAAACCCTCCTTAAAGAAAATGAGGGCTATCTGCCCCTAAACATTTCTTATAAGACACAGCATTAATGGCCAGGGATCACTGGTTTCCACCCAAACCTGGAGCAACAATTCAGTTCCCTTGCCATCGTTCCAGCCAATCAAGAAAAAGAAAGCAAATCACAATCTGTATTTATGAATTTTCATCCTGGGTGCCCATGATACCCAGGAGGTAGGATGTTCCTTCCAAGACTTTTAGGAGGCTCAAGAGGGATCACTGTCAAAAGGGAAGCTCCTAGGTTTAGTCTGTACCCTGAACTGCACTGAAATTTCACTTCACTTTTTAAAGTTCCAGAGCCAAGCCCAAGTTTAAACTCTCCAGACACCAGCAAAGGCAGAAGTATCAGGAGGCAGAAATGTTATTCTATGGCCATTTTACAACACATGAACTGGAGTCACCCAGGAGGCAGCACAGCACTAAGACAGATCACTTCAAATACCAGCTCAATCACTTCTCGGTGAGCAAATGACTCACCATCTTCCTCAGTTTCCCTAAAATGGGGGAAAATAAGTAGCTACCATTCAGGATCACTGTGAGGCTAAACTGAGATAGTACACGGAAACTACTGGGTACACTACCTGGCACAACCCTGCTTACAGTAATGCAGCTGTCTGCTCTGAAGGAGACACAGATCCTGTTCTCTCTGTAATACGGCCCAGGTCTCCTTGTCATTCTTGACCTTTTAGGAACATAAAAACCCTAAGTATAGGACAGCCCAACTCCTACTCGACTGTCCATCATTTACTTAGCACTGCCCCGTGGCCAGGGATATTGTCTCAGACTTCAAACCATCAACATTCACCAACAGTGAAAAGTCTCTCTACTGAAAGCCCAAGGCCCTACCGGTGCTCTGAAGCTGAAACCCTATTTCATAGGCTAATATCTCAGGTATTATTGTTCTTCACCAAAAGCACACCAATTGTTAGAAAGGTCCACTATCCTTTTCTACTCCCAGCAAGCACTTCAAACACCCAACAATTCCTGTTCATCACAGACCACCTACCATCTGTGTATTCCTCTGATGTGAGGGATAAAAGGCTTTGTATGTCGCTGTTCTCTGAATCTGTGGCTTCTTTGTGCGCTGGCCGGCTGCTCCCTGAGCCAGCCACCCAGGAGGAGGTGGTTGCCTGATGCACCATCACAGTCTCTGAGCCTCGGGAGCCCCAGGCTTCACACAGTCCGGACTGGCCTGCGGCCTCCTCCTCACCACCCGCAGAAGAGTAGCCCCCTTGGCCCTGCTGCTCCCTTGGCAGGCTCCTTCCACTGGGCCCAGCCCCTTCCGACAGCACGATGGGCACTCTGGGGTCTGCAGGCGGCATGCAGTGACCGGAACTGCCATATACAGCCTCCTCATAGGAAGGTAATGCAACCTGCACCCCATCCACCATGATGGACACCTGGTCTCCAGATACCCCTTGGTCACGCCTGGATGGAAGAAGACAAACAATCAGAATAAACATACAGATTAACACCATTTTATCAACAAAAGCCACCTTCGCTTTTCCACCTTTAGCACTGAGGTTGAACCCAAGTCCTTCACACACTCCCAGCCCCTTTTTTATCTTAAGAATGGTCTAAACTGCTAAACTGCCCAGACTGGGCTCCAACTTGTGATCCTCCTGCCTAGGCTTCCTGGATGCTGGGAATATAGACATGTGCCACCACCCCCAGCTAAAAGTCATTATTTGTGCACTTAACTATGTGCCAGGCCCAGTGCTTTAAACACTTTGCCATACTGAATCCTCACTTGAGCCCTTTTAGATAAGGAAGTGATTCACCAAGCATACAGATGAGGGCCAAAAGTTAAGGAACTTGTCACAGTTACAGAGCTGGTAAGCAATGGATGATCTAAGAATTGAATCCAGTTCCAGCTACTCTCAGAGACTATGCCCTTAACTTGTGGGTACACAGGCACTGGGCTTCTGGGCAAAAGCTAAGAGCCCAGAGACCTAGAAATAGAACCATCTATTCCACTGAGCTAGGGTAAGAAAAAAAGAGTGGTGGAGGCATATATCATGATATGCTCAAAACTACTTCACTGTACACTTTCAGTGGGAATTCTTTGAGGTTTATGAATTGCATCCCTACAGACTGTTAGGCAGACAGAGGAGCAGGCACACTATGGTCTTGAAACAGGACTTTGGACTGGAAGTCAGAAGAATTTTTCTTTTGACTCAATCACTTTGCTTAAAACTTCATAGAGTTTAAAAACAAAACTATGTGAATTATTACACAAACACAGGAATACATAAACAAATCGACATAGATCGTTGGTTTGCTCCAACAGTGACTCTGGAGTAACATTCCTACTCAAGCTAGGCACCTCGTGCTGCTACACGCTGACACGACCTTGCGTCTGTCCTGCCACTCACACTCCTCACTACCACAAGTGACCAGTATGCTGAGCTGCACAGACACCACTCCTCCTGCTCTGTATTCTAACAGTTTAACTGCCTAAACGTGAATCTTTTTATGCCACAGTTTAGTCCTGCACATTTCTGGTCCACATATATGAATAAGATATACAATAAATGTGTATGAAGATACAGTAGATGGCTCTGCTGCTTTTACTCATTTTGTAAAGTTTATTCCTACAGACAGCTTTTGCAAGGAGCATTTCTGTTACACACACACACACACACACACCTTTCTTCATGAGCCATCTGTAAGTAAGGTTAAGATATTACGTAGATGCTCCTCCTCAGCTCTTCCACTCTTACGTAACTTCAGCCTCATTACATCCCAGAAATGTAACGTTATGATCATATAATACAAGTTTCCAAAACCATCCAAAAATTATTTATTTCATCTGTAGTCTTCATTTTCATCCAAAATCCAATAAAGATAATGTAATGCATTTAGTTGCCTGGTCCCTTTCATCTCTGTTCATGTGAAACAGTCCCCTATCAGTTTTCTTTCACAACACTGGCATTTTTAGACGACTCCAGGCCAGCTGTAAGATGAGCCACAACTGGATGCATTTAATTGTCTTCTCAGAATTGGATTCAGGTCGATTTTTGTCAAGAATACTACACAGGTGATGGTGTCCTTTCAGCTCATGTCATCAGGATACACACCAGTGTACTGTCAGAGCATATTGCTATTAACTATTTTTGTTTATAGTTCTTGGTGAGCATAGTGGCGCATGCCTCTAATCCCAGCACTCAGGAGGCTGAGACAAGAGGACTGCATGAATTAAAAGCCAGCCGGACTACACAGCAAGACCCTAAACAAACAAAGAGCTCTCCAGTTCTCACCTGTACTTGGAGAAAAAAAGAAATCTGTGCTACCTAATACAAATAATGTACATACTGTGAGGAAGAGAGAATGGTACCCTTAAACAGTAGTTAGAGATTTTGGGAAGGAAGGGAAACTTTGACAAAGCAGCAGAGAAAGCAGTGTATATAGTGGCATGTGCTTACTTTATGTTATTCAAAAAAATTTGTGCTGCTGTTTAAAAAGAATTATCTATAGGCATGGCACAAAATTTAAGTGGGGTCCATAATGAAAACCAATTTACCTTCTTCTCAAGTTAGCTGCTTACTTTTAATAAACTTATAGTTAACGTCAGGGAAAATAAAATTTCTTAACCTAGATGAAATACAGATTTCAATGGTCTAACTTTATGTGGCAAGTTCTTGCTAGTTCTTGCCCTAATTATTTTTACACCAGGAACCAAACTTAGGACTTTGTGTTTGCCAGGCAGGTTCCCCAGCAAGAGCTAGTTCTTTAAGTAAACAAATCCTATAAAATTTCTCTATTCTATTAACAACCTTTAAAAACAGCTACACCACGCTGGGGATTTAGCTCAATAGCATAAGCACCTGCCTGGCAAGCACAAGGTCATGAGTTCGATCCCAGATACCAAAAACAAAAAAACAAGCAAAAAATGCTACACCCCCTATCCCTTCAAACAAACCAAAGGAAGACATATAAATCACACATACTATAGTTAGTGATGAACCTAGGCACGTGTGGCACAGCTGGCTGTTTACTATCACTGAAGCTCTAAGAGGCTCGCCACCACTCATATAGAGAGAGATGAAATTTAAGCTAGCCCTTGCCTGTAAGCTCCAAACCTGGGGCATTTTACAGAATTTGGGAGGGATTTTTTTCCCCACTTTCCATGCAGTATATGTGTGCACTGGCATCACCTGAAGGTGCTTAAGACCTCCACCACGAGGCCTCAGCCCCAGAGCTTCAGGTGGTCTGAAGTGAAAGCTGGAAATATGCATTCCTAATAAATCCCAGGGATGCTGATGCTGCTGGAACCATAATTTGAGAAGCACTGATGAGAGGGAAATGACATGGCTTTGCAGTTGAACAGATCTGGATTGTAATGTCAGTTCTGCTAATACATGCAAAGCAATTAGCACTGTACTAGGCACATCCACAGTTTAGCACATGGCAGGGCTCTCCCTTCCCCTTCCCTTTCCCTAGGATGCAGACAGAAAAAGCTGTAGGTCACCAATTTCTCCCAGTCAGGCAAAAACGAGTCCCATAGTAATGCCCACTGCCTGCCAAAAGCAGCAGGGCTGTTGGCTTACCTGCTGTGGTGGAAAGACTTCAGCTTTGGCTGCAGCAGCACAAACAGCACCACAAGGAGAAGAATGAGTGCCACGGAGCTGGCAGTGGAAGCCACTATGGACAGCGTGGGGACTCCAAGTGAAGTGTGGGTTTCTTTGTCTATGGAAACAAGCTTTCATCAGAAGAATTTGATACCCAGACATACAAAACACAGGCCCCACAACTGATGAAGTCAAATGTCCCCTGCTTGGTGCCACACACAGAGACATCCTACAGCAGGGCCCCTTCAGGAAAGCAGCACAGAACAGCTTACATGCACACAGTGCTCCAGGAAAGAGACCGTTTCCCTCTCCTGTTTCTTAAATAAAAACTTCCCCTTACCTCCAGCCTTTGAGGTCCATCTGATCTCTAACTCATTAACCCAAATCTTACTTCTACAAACTACTGTGACCCCGCCTCAATAATATGCTGGTGAATATCAACCATTAAAATGAACATATTATTCTACCATCTTGAGTCCACATATGTTTTTCCACATGTGGTGGGACAATTCTAAAGTTCTGAATCTGTGGTTGTAGATTTCAGACTGATTCCTACTCTTCTCTGTAATGTCACTGGTTAAAGCTGCTCAGGTCTTGAAGCCCAAGGATGCACTGCAAAAATGACCACATGACACATACTTTCCTCTTCAGGCAGCTAGATTTTCCAGTCATGCAAGACAGGAAGAGGCAGGAGGAAAGAGGGGCCTTCTGTCCAGCTGGACTGTAGCTCCATAACAAAACGGTTCATTTCCATTCAAGGAAAAATAAAATGAAACAGACACTACAGAAGGCATCAGCATTATGCTCATTGTGCTAGCAGAACAGTAAAAGGTCATCAGCACTTGGCCAGGCCAATGAGATCCTGCAGATCAAAGGGACCTGACACAGCAGAACGGTTGCCTCAGTGAAGACATGGGAGCCCCTCAGTGACTCAGTAGAACACAATGGGACATGCACCAGCAACCCCAGTGTCTTGCACAAAAACACAAAATCCCAAAGGGAGGCTGCAGGGCAAACAGGGCTACACACAGCACAGCTGAGAGCACTCTGCAGGCACTACTTCCCAGGAAGTGACAGAAGGAAGTGACAGAACTCCGAGCAACCCCTTCTGCTTTGTAGACTGACCTTCATTGAGATGGCAGCTGATCTCCATGGCCGGCTTCCACTCGCCATTCTTACATGTCAGGTATTTGTAGTCCCCCTTCAACATGTAGCCTTCCGCACACAGGTATTCGATGACACTGCCTGCTATCAGGGGGTCTCTGCAGGGTCGGGGGTGGCAGATGTAGCCACCATTTTCTGGCTCCGGGGGCAGGGGACACACTGAAAAGACAGAAAGGACAGTGGTACCACAATGAAACCTTCAATGCTTCTGCTTGACAACACTGTTGAAGGACCTGACAGGAGCATATGGGGAGCAGAGAGCCAACTCTTGGAAAGGCCATTGACCAGACAAACCCTGGAATTCAAGTTGTCACTGAAAGAAAGGGGATTCTTTCGAGGGGAGCAATGGTAACCGTCTCAGAGTTGTATGAGCCACTCACATCATTCCCCCCCCCCCACCGCACCTTAGGAAAGAAGGCTGCATATTAAACAAGAGACTCTGACACCATCTTGAACCTGCAACTGAGACATGATTCTAATAAAACCTCCTAACAGTCAGAGTGAGAGATAACATAGTGCCAAAAAGTGAAGAGCAAATATTAGGCTTGTTTTTGACATCAATGCCAGAAGGAATGCCATAGTATAACAAAAATATGCGTTCTTGGCCTCAGGGGGGATTTCCAATGGACTTCTGGGAACTTTGCATTCTCTGACTGGCAGTGGCATCACCTGTCTCTATTCATAGTGAATCCCACACTTTTCATCTAGGCAGGATGACCTAGTTTTAAAATATCTTTACCTCTTATTTATTTGTTCCTATGACTCTGAGATAGCTATCATTTCTCCCCTTTAAAGATAAGGACACGGAGGCCTACAAAAAGCAAAGTGACTTAGGCAAGCTTCACACAGAAAGAAGGCAGACTTGGGACCAGTCAGGTCATCGGATTCTAAACCTAGACTCTTTCCACCAGCAGGTGCCACTCCTATGCCATGACCTGAATGGTTTACAAGGGATGTCCTGTGTTGTTATGGCTGATAACATTGTGTCAACTTCAGAAGTTTAGAAATTTAACTAACAGACTCAGCAGAGTCAGAATCCTTACTCTGTAAAAATCCTTATCTAGTGCAAGGGCAGGGCACAGTTTTGTGAGTGCTATATCTGCCCTGGGAGTGGAGAGAGGGAGAATAGCCTGCATCCACTATAAGGAAGGAAAAGAGTCTTGTTCTTTCCTCCCTTTTGCTCTGGCTGCTGCCTTGAAATGTTGCCCCAGTGCCAAGCCACCCTCCTTGCAGCCAGCTGATTATGGACTGAAATCTCCAAAAATTCTAAGCTAAAAAAACCTTTGCTTCCTTAATTTGGGGTGTTGGGTATTTTGTCCTAGCAACTAGAGAAAAGTAACAAAGACATATCAAGACCACACCTGCATCCCTTCAGACTGGTCAGCTGGGGACACAGCACACAGGGACTAGGTAGGGTGGGGCTGTAGAGGAAGGCAGGTTGGGCAGGTTCCCAAGAACTTCAACTTTCCAGTCACTTCTTTTTTTCCTTTTTCTTTTTTTAAATTTTATTTTGAAAAGAACAAAACCAAATGCGAAAGGACACAAAATGGGGTCACTCAAAACAAAAAGGATGGTCATAGCTCATGATTAAAACCACAATACAAGGTGATCTACAATGGTTACTATGATGTCTCTTATCATCAATAGAATTGTCTGTATCAGGCATAGTAAAATTCAACATAGCAGTACAGAACAGAACAATATCAACAAAAACATAAAATTGGAGACACTGTAAGACTTCAAAAGCAGGTAACAGTCAAATCAGAATGGGTATCCTAGTGAGTCTTATGGTTTTCAGAGTAGTTGCCTATACTCTCAGACTTGATACTATCAAACATAACAGATTCAAATAAAATTAGTCAAAGACAAAACAGCGATCTAACAAATTGGATTCAAAAAAGATCAGTCATAATAAGACAGTATAATACAGGGCTTCAGATTAAGTTAATAACAAATTAAGGATGGTCACCATAGTACATCCTCCTATTTTTGGAATAGCTGTCTGTGCCCTCAAGTCTAGTACAAGTAGATAGACTGGAACAGAATATAACCAAACTAAAGAGTGATGAGAACAATGTGGGTTTTAAATCATGATACACTATTAACAATGTCCACTGCCTTCCTTTTTTAGACATTTCCTCCCCTTTCACTTTCACTGGGTGCACTGTACATTTTGGGGCCCACTAACTCCTTTAGTTTTTAGAGAGGCAACCCACTATTTACTTAAATGGTTCTGAACCTTTTTACCTCTGAGCTTGATCTTAAGTTGTATTCCTTTACCTGTAAAAGCCTCAAGGTTTTCCTTCCTGATAGCTGAGTAGTTCTCCACTGCACAAAAGTATCATGTCTTTCCAATCTATCTGCAGGGGCTGGAGGAGCTACTCCTATTTCCCTCTGGTTCTCTGTCACATAGACCATTATTTTTCTCATCTTTAACTTTCAGTCCATAAACAGTCTTTCATGTTAATTATATTTCCTTTGCAGAGCATCTTGATGGACCCTATCTATACCTGATCTACTCTGCCTGTGTTTCTTTTTGTTAGTGTATCAAGGCCATCTATGTTAGAGATTATAGCCAACCTTCTCTGCCTCATCTCTGCTATGCTGTGTTTCTGCCGTTGGTTGTCTACTTTTCTTTTTCATTCCACTGTTTGCCCTGATCATTGAGGCTTCCCTGCCACTGTTCCTGAAACCCTGGTGTTTTTTTTTTTTTTTCCTCTCTCTCTCTAGAATGTCCTTCAGTACTTTTTGTAGGGTTGGATTGGTGGTCATGAACTCCTCCAGTTCCTCTTTGTCATGGAAGTATCTTGTTTCTCCATTAATTTTGAGAGATAGTTTTGCAGGGTACATCAATTTGGGTTGGAGGTTATTTTCTTTCAGGGCCTGGAATACTTCACTACAAGTTCTTCTTGATTTGATGGTTTGTGTCGAGAAGTCTGTCATGACTTTGATGAGTTTTCCTTTATAGTGGATCTTTTTCTTTTCTCTGACAGCTTTTAATATTCTGTTCTTGTGTTAGATTTCTAGAATTTTGATTATTATATGTCTGGGTATAGATCTGTTCTGGTTGTAGCTGGCTGGAATTCTGTATGCCTCATTTATCTGAGTATCATTTCCTTTTCCTATGCTTGCGAAGTTTTCCTTAATTATTTCTGTACATAGCCTTTGTCTTTCATTTTTGTTTATCCCTGCTTCTTCACTCACATTTTTTATTCTTAAGGTATAGATCCTCTTGTCATCTTCTAGGCTTTGTCTTGTTACTTCCTGGTTCCTTGTTATTTTTAAGAGATCTTTCCTTTCATGATCACACATTGCAAACCTGTCTTCAAGTTTTGATAGTCTATCTTTAGTTTCTTTCAAGCATTTTTGCCAGCTTTCAATGGAGTTTTAAATTTCCTGGTAATCTCTTTGAATCTGTTTCATGTATTCTAGTTTTTTTTATATTCTTCATTGAAGGTTTCCCTTCATTTTTTGTGCTCCTCTATTCTTCCATCTGTGTCTTCTTGAGAGGTACTTAGCATTTCTTTTATTATCTTCTTATATATTGCTTTACTTGTATTATGTAGATGGAACTGGTTTAGGACAGCTTCAAAGGCAAGTTCGTCCCTGGCTATTGGGTGCTGCTCAGGGGTGGGACCCAGTCCAAGCTATTTCCACCCATCTGCTCCTCGCCAGGAATGGCCAACTGAAGCCACTACAGTTCCGAGTTCAGGGCCATTCTGCCTAATTCCAAGATGTTGCCCAGCTGGTCTCATCCTCCCACGAGAGGACCAAATTCCAAGCACTCACCACAGGCCAGTGCAGATCTCCAAGGCGGCTTCTCTGCTGAGACACGTCCTCTTGCGGAGGTCCCTGGGCTCACCGGTGTTCAGCACAACCACAAGTCAGACTGGCTCTAGTGACAGTGCCCCAACCGCGAGTTGGACCCTCTTTCTTTTCTTTTTTTCTCCCCTTTTTCCTCTTCCTCAGTCATGAGAATCCCTCTCCTTCATCTGGTCTTCTCCATGCTGTGATATTCTAGTGTCCGAGATGTTTCAGAGATTCTTTACCTTGCTACTTATCTAACCATCATCTTGTTGTCCTTCCTCCAATCACTTTTCAAATGTAGGACACAGCAAGTTTTCCAGAGGAAATGTTAACTTTACTGCTCATACTCTACTCACCACCCTAAGTATCACAAAGATATCTATAGGGGAATCAAAACAGTCATTTTTTTTTTCTTACTTCCTCTTACAGGCCCAGAGTGACTAGATGTCCAAGACAAGGCACTGGCTCACTACCATCTGCAAGCCCCACTGACCATGCTTGGTCAGATGTACCTGTAAGGACTCTCTCCAGCACTGCCTCCCTCCAATCTAGAAGACTACAAAGCAGGCTGGGTGGACACTAGGTGAAGAGGAAGGTGAAGAATCCCTGCCCTCCCACTGCCTGTCACTGGAGATGAGGAGAAGAGATACCATTTTCACCTCATTTAATCTATTTGATGGTGCTGGGGATGAAAACCAGGGCATCATGCATGCTAAGCAGCCACTGAGCTACCAGCTCTACCATTTTAAAAAAACTGTTAACAAGACAGGTGTGGTGGTGCATTCCTATAATCCCAGCACCCAGGATACTGTGGTACAAGGATCCCGAGTTCAAGGCCAGCCTGGGCTGTGCGGTGAGTTCAAGCCCAAACTGTATAGCCAGATGCTGTCTCAAAACACAAAAAGCTGCTAACAAACAAGCTGGGTGCCAAGGGATCTGAAAAAGAAGTTTAGCAGCATCTTTAAAACTAGACACTGAACCCAAATAAGGTCCCTCCACTGTCCTTCCAAAGGACAGAGCTCTGACCTGGCCACTTGGCTCAGAGTCCCACACCAGCGACAAATAGGGCAAACACATCTGGTGCTTTCAAGGTTGTGGCCAAACTGTTCAGAGAGCTGGTCAGCAAACTGCTTTATACCTTCACATTCCCTCTTTTGTTCAAGGTAGCAAGTCTGCCACAGACCTCTTCAACTCTCCTCAAACTGTTTCTGTGTAATGAGTTTACTTCCCAGGCATAATGGCTGCCAGGCCCTACAGAGCAGCTCCCAAAGGCAGGCAGAAGCAGCATGTGGGCCCAGTGTGCTGGGAGAAAGGCTCTCAGGGGAGGAAGAGCTGCTGATTGTAAGGCCACT